CAACCGGCCTCCTGGCCACTGCGGCTCGAACCATCTTGGACAGCCTCAACAGGATACCAAATGCCGATCGCCGCACGCGCCTGGGTTTCTTGGCTGTCGATTCTAGCCTCCACTACTTCTCGGTTCCCAAGGACTCTGACGAGAATGCCGAGCCCAGCATGCTGGTCGTCAGCGACCTCGATGAGCCCTTCCTCCCTATCCCCACCGACCTCCTGGTTCCTCTGACAGAGAGCCGCCAAAGCGTTGAGAAGTTCCTGCAGAAGTTGCCCGATATGTTCCAGAACAACCAGAGCAACGGCTCTTGCATGGGATCCGCTCTCCGCGCCGCTCACAAGCTCATCTCGACCCTTGGTGGTAAGATTGTCGTTCTGAGCGCATCTCTGCCCAACATGGGCGTCGGCAAGCTTGAGATGCGAGAGGACAAGAAGTTGCTTGGTACATCCAAGGAGGGCGGTCTCTTGCAGACTGCTAACAGTTTCTACAAGAGCTTTGCTGTGGAGTGTTCGAAGAGCCAGGTGTCCATCGACATGTTCCTCTTCTCCTCCCAGTACCAGGATGTTGCTTCACTGAGCAACCTTCCCCGATACACTGGTGGTCAGACCTGGTTCTACCCTGGCTGGCACGGCTCACGACCTGAGGATGCTCTCAAGTTTGCCTCAGAGTTCAGTGACTACCTGTCATCCGAGATTGGTCTGGAGGCTGTTCTCCGAGTCCGTGCTACCAGCGGTCTGCGGATGAACACCTTCTACGGCAACTTTTTCAACCGAAGCTCTGATCTCTGCGCTTTCCCTGCCTTCCCTCGTGACCAGTGCTACGTGGTTGAGGTGGCGATTGATGAGAACCTCACTAAGAACGTCATCTGTCTCCAAGCTGCCGTCCTGCATACGACATGCAATGGCGAGCGCCGCATTCGTGTCATGACTCTGGCTCTCCCTACAACAACAAACCTCTCGGACATGTATGCCTCTGCTGATCAGTGTGCCATCACCACCTACTTCAGCCATAAGGCGGTTGAGCGAGCACTCTCGAGTGGTCTTGATGCTGCCCGAGATGCTCTGCAGAGCAAGGTCACAGAGCTTCTGCAAACGTTCAAGAAGGAGCTCGCAGGAGGCAGCATGGGCGGCGGTCTGCAGTTCCCTGCTAACCTGCGTGGCCTTCCTCTTCTGTTCCTTGGTCTGATCAAGAACGTGGGTCTTCGCAAGTCATCTCAGATCCCCTCTGACATCAGGTCGGCTGCCCTCTGCCTCCTGTCAACACTTCCTGTGCCTCTTCTGATGCGAAGCATTTACCCTCGGCTGTATTCTCTACACGACATGCCAGAGAATGCAGGAACACCTGACGAACAGACTGGCCAGATTGCGCTGCCCCCTGCGCAGAATCTGTCGTCAGAACGACTTGTTCCTTACGGTCTGTATCTGATCGACGATGGGCAGACCCAGTTCCTGTGGGTGGGCCGAGACGCGGTGCCACAGCTGGTTCAGGATGTGTTTGGAGTGGAAGATCGAAGCCAGCTCCAGGTCGGCAAGGGTCGCGTGCCAGAGCTGGACAGCGATTTCAACGAGCGCGTGCGGGCTGTGATCCAGAAGAGCCGGGATCACAAGTCACTGGGTGTCGGCAGCATCATCCTGCCCCACCTCTACATTGTGCGGGAGGATGGAGAACCCAGTCTGAAGATATGGGCCCAGACGCTGCTTGTGGAGGACCGAGCCGACCAGGGCGTGAGCGCAGCGCAGTGGCTGGGCATGTTGAGAGAAAAGGTGAGTTGGTGACAACAACTACGAGATGGGCAGACCGATAGCTAACCATGATGCGTGCAGGTTGTTCAGTAAATCAACCGGGTCAAAGTCATACCCCTGTAGACGGACAGATGGATTGGAGCAGTCCTTGTAATACCGAGATGAGGAGGGATTCATGTTGGGAAGTTGGGAGTCGGGATGGCAGGCTGCTTGAGCAACGGAGAGAAGGGGGAATGAATGATGGAGGTCTATTAGAGAATGGATTCTTTTGTGCGCAACGTATGCGATGACTGTGAATTACTGGAGATGAAGTTGAAGCTAGTTGCAGAGTCATGTCATGAAACTGGCGTATGATGATGGAGCGTGGCAGTTGGTTCAGAGATGGAATACGACGACATGGGACAGCAACAATCAAGCTCACCCAGTCAATGCACGTGTGCCAGACTACCTAACCTTGTACGGGCAAGCCAAGAAAGCCCAGAGCCATTCAAGGCTTGAAGCTGGAATGCGCGATTGATGCAGAGTATTTTTAGAAGCCCAGCATTCCAAGAAAGAAAGACAGACTGAGAGGCCAGAGGGCCACCCGGATTCTTGGGGCAAACCATGGCCAGGGAGATGGCGGCCCGCAGATGGGCAGCTCCCGTGAATTCTGATACAGGCACCAGACACCACCACGCCTGTCGCATGCAGGCAGTGGGAAAGGGTACAGCAAGATACAAGGGGCTCGCGATCCAATGATGAAACGCGGCAGCGGTGGTGGGTGTGAAACACACGCGGCTGGCAGCTGAGGCAGCCAATAGGGGGAAGGATTAGGCGCCGGGGCTTCTGAGAGGTTATTTTAGGACGAGTTGAGAGGTGGTAGCAATCTTGCGAGTGTCTTGTGCCTTGATGGTCGAACCACTCGAGGTTATCATGAGCGTCGTTGATGGGTGAATGGGCAGAGTAAGGTTCGGAAACGGCTCAAAACAGCCGCGAGAGAGGCTGGATATTGACCGTGACTGGAGGGCCTCGATACCCTTGTGGCATGTTTCGCTTCCCAGTCAGATGGTGAAACGCATGAAGAATAGCTGTCGGCGTATGTGTAGGTATGTGGTAACCAGGGACTCTTTGTGCGACCAGGATTGCTTACCGTCGGCGCTCCACCGAAAACCGGGCAGTGCAAAAAAGGAACCAGGAATGGATTCTGGATGCCCCATATCAAGCCAAGATTAGGTGCTTTGGCAATGTTTCGACGTCCATGTTGCTATAGCTCAACCCCAGGAAGAGAGAAAAAGGCCAGCCGGCCAGCCATGCGCAAGGGCCCGGCGGCCGCCCTTGCTCGCAGTTTTGACAGGAGTCTTGGCGTCAATGGGAAAGTGGAATTTGATGTCATCTTGCATGCCTTGTCGGGTGTCGTCTCAGAAGAGACGTGGTGGTGTTGATGCTATCTTTGTTTCCGGGCAGCTGGGGGGGCTTCCATCCATCCTTCGGTAGGGCAGTCAGAGGACCAGTTTGAAACGGTGAGCGGACGCCACACCTTTTAGCTACAACCAACTTGAGCCCCCCTGGAGGTGAGTGAATGGGTACAGTGGTGTACATGATAGTTAGCCTCTACCTACATTCTACCTGGGTCAATGCACCACTGCGGGCGAGCTGCAAGTATAGAAAAGTACCTGCAGCCCACACCTGTCTTGCTGTCCGTCCCGCCCGCTGCCGTCGGGAGCTTCAAAGTCCATCCATCCACCCATTCTATCCCCCCCTCTCTTCCCCTTCCTCCTCCCTACATCCACTTAAAGCTTGCAAAGGGCCGCCGCATTTACCATTGTTCGCTTCTGGCCCTGCAATATCCGACGCTGACGCCGACGATAGCATCTTGTTCTGTTTTTACCACATTCCTTTTCCTGTGCTGTCCTGTCCTGTCTTGTCTTGCCTTTATCGTTCCAGGTTGGAACTGCTTCGCTTCATCCCGGCGGGGCTCTAAAGAGGTGCGTGCCTGTTTCTTATTACCCCTCCTGACGATCATTACACCCAGTCAGTAAGGTATCCGGCGGCCGGTCTAGGCGGCCAGAGGCAGGAACCAAGATGGCGACCCCAGCAAGCTTCTCCAAGCCAGAGAGAGGGTTCGTTTCGTCTTGAGATCCGAGCTCTCCTTGTCTCAACCTCTTGGCGTCCGCATTCCTCTCTCCAGGGCAGAGCCATCTAGAGCGGCGCAAGACGGCCTCTTACTTTCCCTCAGGTGTTGCCTCTGTCGAAGCCACCGCGCGATCGGCTTGGGATGGCCATCTGCGACTGACCCCGCTGTGAGCGAGCATGTGGTGCTCAATTCCTAGCCGCCCAGCGCGGACTTCATCACATCTGGCAGGCAATCAATCACTCATTGTATCGTTCAGTCAGCAGCCTGACAGGACGTCCACTGGAAAGTGGACAGATCAGATGACGGGAAGCCCCGTTTACTACCTTAATTGTCCTGGCCTCTTCCTCTTCTGCCGCAGGCTTGTTCCGCCTTTTCAACTCCTTGCCCCGTCACGTCTTGATTCAGTCTGACTCGTCTCGACTCGTCTCGTTCTGCCCTTGGAATATCACTAGTCGCTTACATTGACTTTCCTTGCCTACCCGACTCTGAACTTGCCGAAATACCTTGTCCGTTCCTTGACACTGACATTTCTGGGCGCCCGCTCACAGACCATCTCTGGCGACCAGATTCGGAGCCATTCTCCGTAGCAACTAAAGCCCGTGTCGCGATCCCCCCTACCTATACTCACCGTTCGCGACGGCGAGCCGACTGAAACCTGGGCCATCGCCACGACGCTAGCTGTCTACGGTCCTCGACCGCCCCCGTTTGTGCCCCGCGCCGCCGCGGCCTATTTGAAGAAGCACGGCCCGAGCGGAGCTGAATCCCACGTTTGCTACCTCGCTTGACTAGAGCGCCGTTGCGACCCTACTGCGAACGAGAACATCTTGGACCCTTTTTCTCTTCTTCATCCGCCTTTCCCCTCACCACGCCAGCGAGATATAAACCGACAACTTCCAGCCCAACAGATTCGTGCGTCGGACGTTTCTCATCAATCAACAAGCTTGCGAGTGTACTGGGTGGATCTCAGTGCCCAACCCCTCAATCCTCCTCATTGACCAGAGCGCGAACAAAGGAGACTTGGCTGGTCCCTTTCTTTGGCCTTCGCAGTACCTAATATCTCGACACCTCCGACGACCGCGCAACTCCAACGCGACGTCCTCTACAAAGACTCTTCATTCCTCACTTTCTCTTCCACAACATCCAACGCAACCATGTCCCGATCGAACCCCCCTAACCCCACGGGGTCACGCAAGATCTCTTTCAACGTCAGTGAGCAGTACGACATCCAGGATGTGGTAGGCGAGGGTGCATATGGTGTGGTTTGGTATGTTTCTTCCGGCTCTTGCGCCAAATATTGCCGGGCATGTTGCTAACGACTCAACCAGCTCCGCCATTCACAAGCCTTCCGGCCAAAAGGTCGCTATCAAGAAGATCACCCCCTTCGATCACTCCATGTTCTGTCTAAGAACCCTGCGCGAGATGAAGCTGCTGCGATACTTCAACCATGAGAACATCATCTCCATCCTCGATATCCAGAAGCCCCGAAATTACGAGTCATTTAACGAAGTCTACCTCATCCAGGTACGAATACCCGCACTTTGTCGCAAAAGGAGTGGAAACGGCTAACAAAGCAATACAGGAGCTCATGGAGACGGATATGCATAGAGTGATCCGCACCCAGGACCTGTCGGACGACCACTGCCAGTACTTCATCTACCAGACGCTCCGCGCGCTCAAGGCCATGCACTCGGCCAACGTGCTGCACCGTGATCTCAAGCCCTCGAACCTGCTGCTCAACGCCAACTGCGATTTGAAGGTGTGCGATTTCGGTCTTGCGCGATCTGCGGCTTCGCAAGAGGACAACTCGGGATTCATGACCGAATATGTCGCGACTCGATGGTACCGCGCACCCGAGATTATGTTGACTTTCAAGGAGTACACCAAGGCCATTGACGTGTGGTCCGTTGGCTGCATTCTGGCTGAGATGCTCAGCGGCAAGCCTCTTTTCCCTGGCAAGGACTGTAAGTGATTCTTGGAAGTGAATCTTTTGGAGTGTCATCTAACCCTTTGCCAGATCACCACCAGTTGACGCTGATCCTGGACGTGCTGGGCACGCCCACGATGGAGGACTACTACGGAATCAAGTCGCGCCGTGCTCGAGAATACATTCGATCTCTGCCTTTCAAGAAGAAGGTGCCTTTCCGAACGCTATTCCCCAAGACTTCGGACCTCGCTCTCGACCTGCTCGAGAAGCTCCTCGCATTCAACCCGGTTAAGCGCATCACAGTGGAGGAGGCTCTGAAGCACCCATACCTCGAGCCCTACCATGACCCCGAGGACGAGCCCACAGCGCCCCCGATCCCCGAGGAGTTCTTTGACTTTGACAAGCACAAGGACAACCTCAGCAAGGAGCAGCTGAAGCAGCTCATCTACCAGGAGATTATGAGGTAAATGTACCTACCTATGGCGAGGATATGTTTGCGTAGCTGGGATCTGGGATCCAACTGGCCTCGAAGGGAGGAACTTGATATCATGGCTGTTGGGCAGACATTGTGGCAATCATGACACTGCAGTGACTGGGACATATGGATGAATAGCATGGCGGCAGGTTTGGAGATGGTAGATAGACATACCCAAACACAGGTGCGCACACAATGACCTCTCTGGTATTATCCTGCATGGCATGGGCTTGGCGTGTGCCGGCTGAGGCGCTGGTGGTGGCAACATGGAGGGAGGATAGAGAGAGGGACGGAGGCGAGAAGGGCTGGAGAAGTTTATGATAAAGTGCATACTGAAACAGTTTTCCTTTTATTAGTCATGTTTAGTTATATCCAAAACAAGAAGTTCCATCATGACGATTGATAATGAGTTGAGGGGAGTACAGCACGTGTCGCATGCTGGGCTGTGAAGGGGCAACGGTCTAGACCACGGTTGTGGCACGCTTGAATAGGCGTTGATGCAGGGCGGATTACTGATGATGATGGCAACCAGCGCCATTGGCCAAATGAAGCTAGCACGTTAGGTAATGAGGCTCCCATGTTCATGACCATCAGCATGTTTGGCCTTGCCAACGTGTACAAGGACGAGGCGTCAGCTGGTGGCCAAGGCGATGTGAGAGTCGAGACTTGAAGATTTGGTGTTGATGGCATCAAGAATTCCTACCCAGCTAAAGAAAAGGAGGTATTCAGTGTCTACGTCAGACGCATAAACAGACTGTCAGGCGGTCTTCGTCCTTCTTGTTGGTCTTGTTTGGCGCCTGGGGCTGACCCCGCTATATCAAGCTCCACTAGCTCCCCCAAAGTAGGTGCGTCACGGCCACCTAACTTATCGTCCATACCTTCTGTCTAGGTATCGTTGACTCTTGGATCTTTCTTCTCGAGCCCGCCAGTTCCCTCGAATGTCTCAGATCCAAACAGATCCATTCTGTTCATCAGCCAACTCTTCCCGTCGACCCTCGACATCCAACCTTTTTCTGCTTTATTCAATGTTTCGACCAACTCTTCAAACCTTGATCTAGGTTCACTCTTTCTCCACACATTATCTATACCTACCCACCCACCTTACCTTTGTCCTGCTTCTACCCCAAACATCATGAGCTCTTCGGACCGCAACGACTCCCCCGAGACTCCCGACTCTTCTGGCGCAGGCACACCCTCCAACTCGAACCGAGCATCTGCCTCGTACATCTCCAACATGTGGACCGGCCTCATCCGTCGTTTCTCCAGCGAGGGCTCTTATTTTCCCAGCCAGGCCGACACCGCCTACGATGAGGACCCCAAGCACCAACAGAACGGCAAGGACGGCATCAACGGTGTCTTTGCCCCCGTGCGCCGCACCGCTAGTCCTCTGCGCCCACCACCCCTCGACCCTCTGATTCTCCACGGCTACCGCGAGAGCACGCCCGTCTCGGCCAAGCTGCTGACGGGTGCTGTCGCTGAGGAGATCCGCACCATGATCCCCGAACGGCTGCGCATCGTCGACGACTGGCACCTCATCTACAGTCTCGAGCAGGACGGCGCGAGCCTGGCGACGCTGTACCAGCGGTGCCGGCAGTACGAGGGCAAGCGAGCGGGCTTTGTCCTGGTTGTCAAGGATCTTGAAGGCGGGGTGAGTATACTTGAAACCAAACAATGGCATGACATGACGTTGTTCTTCTAAACACGGTGCAGATCTTTGGCGCATACCTATCCGAATATCCTCACCCGGCGCACTCGTACTTTGGGAACGGCGAGTGCTTCCTCTGGCGCGCCTCAACTCTTGCGCCTCTCCCTCTCCCTCCATCGGCCGACACGACAGACGTCAACACGCGGAACACTACGCTCGCCCCGCCATCTTCGTCAGAGGGTGCCACGCCCACGGGCTCACGCGCGCCGTCTCCCGCGCCGAGTGAGGCAGTTCGGTTCAAGGCGTTCCCCTATAGCGGGTTAAACGACTTTTGCATGAACTGCGAGACGGGCTTCCTGAGTGTCGGGTCCGGCGGTGGACACTACGGGCTCTGGTTGGACAACGGGCTCGACGTTGGACACAGCTCCCGGTGCGAGACGTTTGGCAACGAGCCGCTGAGCGATGAAGGGACCAAGTTTGGCGTCATTGGCGTCGAGCTCTGGGTCATGGGCATGTAAGTGCATGATCCCATGCTGTTTTTTCTTACTGGTTTGCACGGCGCTTGGTGTTGTTTTTCCTGGGTGATGAATGGATGGATGGTTGTCTCTCCTTAAAAGAAAAAGATGGATGTGTTGCACAACAGGTGGGAAATATCGAGGCTTGGGAGCCGCGCAACGACTTGTTGGGTATATACGGAGGGAGGCTTGGGCAACAAACAAAAAAGACACGGGGTGGATGAGTAGACTTAATGATACCCGGAGCTGACACTCCCGACCCTTTCTGCTGATCTTGCTGTTGTCATGATGTGACGTGACTTGTTGAGTTTCTCACGGGTACTCAAGGCATGAGGAGGAGGGTTTATGCTTTGATATTTGCCCAGTATCAACTTTGATTCCTAGTCATAAACTCTTGGATCCCGTCTAATACGCCCTGCGGCGTCGGTGACTCGGCACACACGTCGGGCTCAAAGCCAAACGACTTGAGGTGATCTCTTGTTGTAGGCCCAATCGTCGCGACATACGTCTTGCCATCCCGCACGCTCCCCTCACGCACCTTGCCCGTCTCCGGGTCCAGCACGCCCATAACTTGGAGTAGGCTATCGCACCCCGTCGGCGAGAATACTACCACCCAACGTGCAGGCGCATCCTGTGTCTCAGAAAGCACGCGATCCAGGTCGATGGGGAAGCTCTCCATGACGCCCGTTCCGTAAACGACCGTCTCGTCAACTGCGATGCGCTCGCCGTCCGGCAGCCCAGGGTCCTGCAACGTCTTGGGAATAATGTCCCGTCGAGTCTCGCCAACGAGAAACAGCACGGGAGGCAACGACGGCCGGCCGGCGTGCCATTCGCGGTAGTGAGAGAGGATATAAGGGGCGAGGGTCGCGCCGTTGCCCGTGTGGCTACCGAAGACGCTCAGGGGAGGATCCTGCGGGACGGCGGCGAGGGCGCGGGTCGTCGCGGGGCCGACGCTGTAGACGGGAATGTGCTGGAGGTGAGGCCACGACGTCGGGGGGTCATTTTTGATGCTGTCATTCTCTGAATATCAATCAGCTTGTGCGATTTACTCGGTGAAAGTCAATTGACTTGTTCTCAAGACTCACCATCCTTGCCGTCCTGCACCAACTTCACAAACGCCTCAACCGCGCGCTGTGAAGTAAAGATCAAGCCGCCATACTCATGATGCTCCTTGTTTCCAATCCGTCCCTCGCGGAGCACCTCTGCAACCTTTTTCATGCCCTCATCTTGGAATTGGTGCAACAGCACGGGAACAAACTGCGGCGCAAAGGAAGCTCCAGCGGCGCTCGTCTCGGAGAAAAGGTCCTCGTATGAATCACCGGGACTCGACCTCGTCTTGAGCAGGAGGACCGGCACCTTGCTGGAAGATGTCATGGTGATGTAGGTAACCAGAGGAGGGAGTGTCAATGGCAAGGCTGAGGGATCATGAATCGGAACTCGGCGATCAGCAACTTTTTGGAGGGACGGGGGAGGAGGGGCACAATGGAAGGGGAAAAGGTGGGCATGGCGTCACTGGCGGGCATTTTTGATAGTGGATGCCGGGAGTGAGGACGGGCGCTAGTGATGAATTAGGGCTAGTGTCTTGCTGCTTCAACCGTTGTTGTGCAGACATGGGATGAACAGATGAAAGCAAGTTTAAACCACTTGACAGTATTATGAGGATGTTTCTATTTCTTTATGAGATTTTGCTGCAATTTCAGAGCTACATCGTTCATAGCAGTTAGTCCCCTGGCAGTGTAAAGGGTGGCCTCGGTAAGAAACAAATAATGCTATCACCAAAGTCAAACATCTGTCCCGCAAGGCAGCACGGGGAGTGGACATTCAATACCAGCTGGGTGATTCAACCAACGCTTGTGATTAATGTCTGCACAAGAAAAATACAAGAACCCAGGTGACTCTTTAGAAGATGCTTGCTAAACTCTTAGGATAAAGATTTGATTAGCTTAGAAGAGACTCTATAAGAACTCTCCTTAGCTTTAGATCGCTTTTTACCTCTTTATGATTGCTGTTATAGAAAAGGGGGGAAATAAACTGATGAGCATCTACTAAGAATATTCAGGTACTTGCATTTAGTGGTACACCAATTAGTCAAGTTGGTATGTCAAACATCCGCTCTCATCGACATCCTCCAATCCGGTCACAAAGTAAGGTCGCCCGGCATACTTCCAAACGCCCCAAAGAGAGATGGATCCAAAGCCATGTCCTCAAAGGGGTCGAGATAACTCGGTGCGATCACCCCTGGCATCTGTTTGAAAAGGTCTGCCCAAGCATTAGCATGCTGATCAGATATCAAGAAGGGCAACAGACTTACCATCCAACGATGCTGTGGTGGGAGACTCTCCATGCTTCAGCACGACTGAGATGGTCTTGACCGCTCTTTGAGCCTCCGTAGATTGGCCAGCGTTCATCTCCCAGAGACCCCTCGCAGTAGCCAAAGCTTCCATAATATCATCTCGCCGAGGCATGAAGTTGGTAGAGCTGGGTTCTGCGTCCTCGTCGGACCTGCTCAGAGCAAAGCATAGCATCATAGTAGCCTGCAGAAATTCGTGATTGAGCGACGTGGCCACCTTCCAACGAATGGCATACATGAGGCCCCCAGGCTGAGTCTCCTCGCTCATCCTTCGCTGGTGGTCTAGTATTGCCAGGGCAGCATCGATACACGCCTTGCTAGATTTGGCATTTTCTTCTCCAGAAGAGCCTTTTACAAAAGCTCGACGGTGCAGGAGATAGACAGCCTTGTGAATCAGAATGTCCAAGAACATACGATACAGTATCGTTACGGGGTTGTCGGCAATCGATGCCTCGAGCGGTTTGTGCTTTAGCCATGCCGGTATAGATTGGACAGTTTCTTCAAGCTTGGTACTTAGTGCAGAAATCGTGGCGGCTAAGGGCGGTCCTCCTTCTGTTGCATCGTATATCTCGGCCGCCAGTGTGATGATGCGGTGCCTTTGGATGATGTACAGCAGAGAGCTGGGTTCAGTAAGTGGTCGCTCGACTGGAGTTTCGTCATGCTCGAGGCTTATATCTCCATCAACCAAGTGTGCAGGAGGTTGTGTATCACACTGGGAGTCCTTGATGATGCGTGGTAGTCCAACTTGTGTACTCGTGAAGAAGTCCATATCGTAGAGGGTCATCCATATTCGCCGTCTGAGCTCTGCTTGTAATGGTCGAATAGTTGGCCAGTGAGCTGGATCTCGGTGTAGTCCCATGCGCATGGCAACTCGGATGACGACGCCCATCAATACCCAAGTGCCGGCATGTGTATCGACGTTAACATTCTGGTCAAGGGCGAAGTGCAAGGTCAGTGTTTCTATCGTGTATCTGCCCGATCGTAGATAATCCCCAGCAACCAAGCAGTGGATGGTGAGGGTTCGGTAAGTGTCCAACGTATCCTGCGATTCGGTCGCGGACAAGCCAGATGCTCCGATATCTTGTTGCTGTAGGAGTATTGAGATGCTCATGATGCTAAATAAGAGGCCTATCCACATGATCGGCGCAGTTGAGAGATTGGCCCAAAATTTTGTGTACTGAACAAGGTAAGTGAGTATACTTCAGGGAATGGCACTTGGACTTCACCTCAGCGAGGAATGTGTTTCGATGCAGAAGGACTGATGGCGCTGGTTAATCAATGAGCACATAGATGTATATAGAAACTCACCTGGGGCAAAGTCGAACGCGTTGAAGAAGTGGGAAACGTGTCTATCGACCACCTTACGGGGTGGCATCATGGCTAGAATATCCTCTTTCGGGAGACAGGCGACACTCGTCAGGAGGGACATTCTCGTGGTCGGCAGTCCCATATTGGCACCTTGCAAAGTCGATTCCGGGCTCGTTGCACTGTCCGAAAAGTCGTCAGATAGTTCGTCTTTGAGCTGTCGGATCTGCCAACCATCAGTACCAGGCTCGTCAACTCTACTTCGCCGCAACTGCACACACATCGTCTAAAATCGTAGCCCAATGAGAACTACCGGTGTACACGGCATTCCCCTCTTCAAGGCTCAATTTCCCTATGTTTTCTGCTGCATGACTATCAGAAAACGCTCCTCGCGTCTCAATGTCATCATTGAGAGCCTCGCTTGGTGACGCTACGGGCTGATGTGAGCTCTGTGCCATCTCAGTAACGAGGCTCTCGATGCGGGCAACCCTCTGACGAGCATTTCGGCTCCGTTTGTGAGGTCTATAATCAATGGCATCTTTTCGTTCTTGCTCTGAAGAGCTGTAAATGCACTCCGCGCCGTGGCGAAGGCATGCGCTGCAGGGAGACTGCCTATTGCATCGAAGTCTAGGTTACGTCGTCAGTCGTCCGTCAGTTACTAGTTGACGGGCTTGTCATCTTTCAGCTTACTTGCGGCCGCGGCAGAAATTGCAGCTCAGTATAGGCTTATCCCGTCTCCTGCCTAGATGTGCCGATTGGGAAATCATCGCTGTGATGGTGCTTGTAGACGGATGGATGCGGGGAGTGATGGAACCAAGGGTGATCACTGTGCCAGGTATGGAAATCAGGTGCTTCGCACGGTGGGATGCAAGAATTTGGAATGACGGGCATGGTCGAATACACATCTTAGCTAAGAATTCAGCAAGAATTGGATGAACCCTTAGAACATATTATATCAGAACTCTATTTTGGCTTAGATCATTTCCTCTTACTTTAAGGTTATCAGTGATTCAAGATATGAGGAGGTAGTGATGAGGATGTATTAAGGATAGATAGCCATTTGAAGAGGATCATCAACAACGTAGGATTGTCTCCTTGGAGAACTCGCTGAGGATGACCGCCACCGAGACATTCTCCGTGCTCAATATGTAAAGGCCCGTGACAAAGTCCAGTGTGATGATGTGGTCCGGATGGGTCAGCCCCGGAGAGACGGAGAGTGAGTGGGTCCAATCGCCGGAGCGTCACGGCGGAGCGTCCGAGACGGACGGTCGGACAGTCATCGTGTAAGCTCATTGGTCAATGTTGTTGCAATCAAATCATTGCGACGACTGTCCGCGATGGAATCATGACTTTAATGCCCGCCCATGAACATTTATAAACCAAGTCGGTAAACCCATAGACACATTATGCTCACCAATCTAAGATTACTTTCATCCTTTGCTTTAGTGCCCAAAATGATGCCAACAGAGAAAGTCGATGTGGTCTACCCTTCGGGTATCAGGCTTGGGCTACTCATGACATCCGTCTTTATTGGCATGTTTCTAGTAGCACTAGTACGTCAAACATAACGGAGCTCGTTTACATTGGCGTCTATCCACTAACCTCACTTGCTTGCAGGACAAACTTATCATCTCGACTGCCATCCCCGCCATCACCGACGAGTTCCATTCGGCCAACGATATTGGCTGGTATGGAACAGCCTATCTTCTCACCAACTGCGCCTTCTTGCTTGTGTTTGGCAAGATGTATGTAGTTCTGGACGTCAAGACCACATTCATGGTAGCCGCCGTGCTGTTCGAGGTGGGCTCCGCCATCTGTGGCGCGGCACCCAACTCGATCGCCTTCATCATCGGTAGGGCGATTGCGGGCCTAGGTGCCGGGGGTATACAGTCCGGGGTTGTAAGTCTTCACCCTTCTCGCTTATCATGCTTACTTACTCACATATCATTAACTAGCTCGTCATAATCGTCTATGCCGTCCCACTCCAGAAACGGCCCATGTATCAAGGTCTCTTTGGAGCCGTGTATGGGATCTCCTCCATAATCGGCCCACTGGTCGGCGGTGCCTTCGCCACAAACGTTACTTGGAGATGGTGTTTCTATCTCAATCTTCCCTTGGGGGCTGTGGTGCTAGTGTGTGTCTTCTTTCTGCTTCACATCCCTGAGCGTTCCACCACGGTGAACACCTTGCGCCAAAAGCTACAACAGCTCAACATCGAGGGACTATTGGCTCTTCTTCCTGGTGTTATTTGTCTCTGCCTAGCACTCCAATGGGGAGGGTTCACCTTAAGTGTAAGTCCAAGTCCCAGGCAAAGCCAACCGAGCTGACTATTGATACCAGTGGAGCAACAGCAAGATCATCGCGTTGCTTATCGTTTCTTTTGCCTTGTTGATCACATTTGTCTTGATCCAAATATGGAAACCAGCACAGGGAACGGTGCCACCACACATATTCACCCAGCGAAGCATCGCTGGTGGGTTCTGGGTGAGCTGCTGCGTCGGAGCACACCAGACACTGCTCATTTATTTCCTACCCATCTGGTTCCAGGCAATCAAAGGTGATTCAGCCGTCGAAAGCGGCATCCACCTCTTGCCCATGGTGCTCTCGCTTGTCGTTGCGTCGATCCTCACGGGAGTGCTAACGACTCGTGTCGGGTATTACATGCCATTCTTGATCCTGGGCATCTGCATCGCAGCGATTGGTGCCGGAGTCCTTACTTGCCTTCACGTCGACGCATCTGCGGGTCAATGGATCGGATACCAGGTTTTGTACGGCTTCGGTCTGGGCGCTTGTTTCCAGGCGCCTAACATGGCTGCGCAAACGGTGCTACCTCGGGATGAGGTCTCCATCGGGGCTTCACTCATGCTGTTTGCCCAGACGCTCTTTGGCGCCATCTTTGTGTCTGTCGGTCAGAACGTGCTCAATAGCGAGCTAGCTAACCGCCTTGCCAAGTTCTCGAGCATCGCTCCTCAGCAGATCGAATCTGCTGGGGTGACTGGTCTCTTTAAGATGATCCCGGACAAGTATCATGGGGCAGCTCTGCAGGCCTACAATAGCTCGTTGATTGTCTGTTTCCGAGTCGCGCTCATTATGGCCTGTCTTGCCATTCTTGGTGGTGTTGTTATGGAATGGCGTAGCGTCAAGAAAGAAGTGAGGGAAGAGATTGGTGATGGCGTCGAAATGAGGACTGTTGAAGCATAAACTGCCGGGTAGATGAGATATCTCGGATGGGTTTTGGATGTAAATATAAAGGAGGAACTTGATGGTTGTTATTTCATACATACGAGAATATTAGTGTATTATTAGACAATTTTAGGCAGAGCATGTAAAAACTAGTAGACCATCATTCCAATATTTACCCTTTTCTTCAAAGAAGCATCCATTGAGGTGAAATTCATCAACACACAAAGGTCGTCAAGGAGTGAAACAATCGACATCTTCCAATACATAATTTTATGCTAATGCATATCCACATGTCACCCCACGTTCAAAAGCAACAGGCGGGAGCACCCTATTTCTTATCGATAAGGTCTTGGCGATGGAGCCATGGCGATTGACGTCTTCCGATGGCCTATTTTGGTTCCTGGACCGGCTTCTCGGGAGGGCTGACAAATTGGCGTCACACCACGACAAGGCCAGGACCCGCGGCCTTTAAGCTCTTTTGCTTTAAAGTCCCTCTTTTTCTCTTTCCTCCTGTGGTTTATCTGTTTTACCTGTGCGAGCGGCTATCGATACGTCCCCTCGCTCTGATTGCACCGAAGCTCCGGCCTTTTTCGGTCCCTTTAATCTTGGTCCTTGGTTGCACCACTCGCCACACCCGGCCACATTCTCGCGACAGGAACTCCGTGGCGCCATGGCAGAGGAGCCTAGAGATACTCGGGACGACAAGTCCTCGGCGGTTACGTCCGCTGCCCCTGGCGCGCTGGCCCCTGCGCAGGGAGGAGGCTCTGCTGAGCCGCCCAAGAGGATCCCCAGGGGAGTGGTCCTGGGCCCGGATGGCAAACCGTGAGTCAACGACGCCCGCTATATCCCCGGCACCAGGACTCCCCTCTCGTGTCATATCTTTGTGTCTCTGGAATCGATCTATTCGCTAACCGTGCTATCTCTCTCACCCCATGTAGATGTCGGAATTGCACGTCTTTCGCCGCGTGGGCCGCCCAGACAAAGGACACTCTCAAGCACGAATCTGCACGGACACCAACGGCGACACAAGGGCCTCCGGCCGACTGCCCTCCGGACGTCGAGACACTTGGCCGGAGCACGTGGACTCTGCTGCACTCGATCGCGGCTCAGTACCCGGAGCAGCCGTCCAGGGGCCAGCAGTCGGACCTCCTCAGCTTCGTGGGCCTGTTCTCCAAGCTGTATCCGTGCTGGGTGTGCGCCGAGGATTTTCAGGGCTATCTACATCGCGATGCGCCCAAGGTTGGTAGCAGGGACGAGTTTGGCAAGTGGCTGTGCGGTGCACACAATGAGGTGAACCGCAAGCTTGGCAAGGCCGAGTTTGACTGCTCCAAGTGGGAAGAGAGATGGCGGACTGGCTGGAAGGATGGCCGCTGCGATTGAGCTGAGGCTACGAAACTTCGGAGCTCGACCCGAGAGAAGCTCGGACAGTGTGAGCTGAGGCTACGAGGCTGGATCGCCGGCCGGGCCGGTGGATTCAGGGTCCAGGACAGTGATGTGATTTTTTGAGGAGCCTCGGTGTGCGGTGTACGATATTGGTCTGAGATCAAGGGAAGGGTGGCCCTTCGGGAATGCACACCGGGTGGTTTACTTTGTATGATGACTCTTCGGGGAAGACGTGGCCGAGGGTGGATACAGCCAATGCCTTGAGAAAAAGAGTGGGATATTCTAGAGAGGAGGATAAAAGAGGCCAGCATCGGGAATCAGGACATGGCAAGGACATGCATGGCCGATGTTGGCATTGACGACATGAAGGGACAAGATGGTTGCGCAGCAGGGGCGTCGAATGGATAGAATCTCTTCTCACGATATGTATGATATCAGATACAAACAGCTCCCTTGTATAATACACAATGTACATTGCCGATGGACGTACCTATAGAAAGGGATCCTGGACAGAACTTCTAGAAGGGAACTAGAACAGGGTCTATATCTAAGCATGTATCGAGGTCCTGTCTTGTAGACCGTAGCAGCACGTCTCCCTCGTTCGCCGCACCTAAAAGGAACCGTATCAAATCTCCGTGCTGTTCGGCTCGCAGCTCCGGTGGAAGCATTGACGAGAAATACCCAGCCCTGCCAGACCGTAGCGAAGAACCCAGAAAGAAACGTCTAAAGAACCGTGTGTGCCTGCCCCCTCTCACGTGTGTGTCTATCCCTGCTCCATTCGGTGTTCCCCCTTTGGCTGGTGACGAGGCCACACCGCGATAAGGATGATCTGACAAGGCCTTGTGTAAACACACACGGTACCCGTCTACTGAACTACCGGGCCGCCTTACTGCTGGCCCCCCCCCTGGTGTAACGAGCGGGCGCTGCAGCTTTCAATCTCTGGTTACCTTACCCTGCAAACCGGTCCCCCATCTCGCAGCGCATGCCCGTCAGTGTCTTCTTGTCTCGGGACCCCCCCATCCCTGCGATGACGGGTTCCTGTAACGCGATGTCTAGTCGACCCTCGTAACCTCATACCGACGGCAAGAAGCGGCAAGGAGAGGAAAGAAGAGGTTTTGAGAGTTGGGAGGTTGACCTTGTTTTTTTTAATTGCTTTCGCTGTTCAATGTCCGTTTTCTCGAGACACAATATGTCACCACCAAAGGGCCTTTTACGGATACGATATCCCTGCCTCAGCCCGCAAGTCCCCTCTCTTTTTGCTACGCAGCTGCGAATAGGTGCTCTTTTTGCTCTTTTTTGTTACATACAGTAAGTAGTATGCGTTGTTGTTGTCGTCTCTTGTCCCATCAATGGTCGGGACGATATGCCGCCACCATCTGTTGAGTCAATGCTCACGGGAAGGGTGAATGCTACGCTCCCATGCAAGATGTGCCCTGCTGCTCACTGCCGGAGAGCCATCGGCCGCGCGCATCGTATTCTGCCATAAACCAACTGGACCGCAGATGACGGTCTCGCCATGGTCGTCATAGCCGTTGGCAAAGAGCGCACTTGGACCCCCGTTCCCCAATTGCCGCATCTTGCTTTGGTTGTTTGGGCCTCGACTGGCTTCTAGGCTGCTGCTGCATCTCGTTCGTTCGCTGTTCTGTTCCGTACCGGCAAAAACAACGCCATGGGTTCGTAAATATCCATCCAGTGAGACCCATCGCCGTCCCGTCGGATATAATCATTTATGGCATGGTCCCGGCCCGCGCTCGGCCACACAGAGAACGTGGTCCGGCCTAGCCGAGAAAAGAGTCGACAGCATCGTCAGGGATCTCACATCACATCGGAGCTGGCCCTGTATACCGCAAGATGGGATCGTGGCTGGTTTGCCTCTTGTTTGCTTCGACTCTAGGCCCTTGTTCCTTGCCCTGCCCTGTCCGGCATCCCACCTCTCATGGATGGAATGGATGCTGCCACATCTATCCGTATACTCGAGAGCACAACTTGCGACACCTACAAACGTGCCATGGCATTTCTGGTTTAGAGTACCTGCATCGAGAAAGAAAAAGAAAGAAAAAAAAAGATATGGAGACCTGAGCTGTCTCGATCCCCTACAGCATGGCCCTAGTCTAGTCTGCCCGATTGAGGGACCCGTCAAAGGGAAAGCTTGCATCATATGATTATTGTCACTGTAGAGAGGGAGAAAAAAAATGTGAGAGGCGTCGGTCGCATTACATCACCATGGCTGAAACGCTCACCACTGGCTCGAGGGGGTTCACCTCGCTCTTTCGGGGGCCCGCGCCTGCGCCCGGGAGCGAGCGATGGATCGATCACTCGAGAACAGCGGTAAATGTCATGTCGGACCTGGACCTGATCCCTATCCTATCCTATCCTATCCCTCATTCATGCCCGTTGATGCGTCCCCTGCTGGGTCGGGTCCGATTGCGCTCATATCATGATGGTCTTATTTTTGGCAGCCAAATCAGATTCAAGGATCGATTGCGTATACGCCCGCTCTTTCGAGGTGTGGACGGATTGGATGGATTGGATGGGATGTCCTCACTCAACCTTCTAGAGTAGTTGGCTGCTGCTTTCATCCGTCAGAGTATAAACATCTCACCTCCCCTCCTCCCGGATCCAGCTTCTTTCCCATCTCCATTCTTATCAACCTGCATTCCATCCATCACAATTGTCTTGGTTTCAATCACCCAGACACCCACATCTTCCCTATAAAGCTTGGCTAGCTTCACTTACCTACCCCTCCAAGCTTATCAGCTATCGCCTCCATCATCAATTCCTCTAGATCTTCAACAACCACCATCCAATCTACCCCATCATGAGTACAAGTCAGGGCCAGGGCCTCCAGCAGCCCATCGACGTCGCCGAGTACCTCTTCAAGCGACTCCACGAAGTCGGTGTCCGCTCCGTCCACGGTGTTCCAGGCGATTACAACCTGGTTGCCCTCGATTATCTTCCCGATTGTGGTCTCAAGTGGGTCGGCAGCGTCAACGAGCTCAATGCTGGTGAGTCCTCATCATGACTTCATCCCAACCTCCCCTCAATCACTAACATCTCTTTCCAGCCTATGCCGCCGATGGCTACGCCCGAGTCTCCAAGATTGCTGCTCTCATCACCACCTTTGGTGTTGGTGAGCTTTCTGCCATCAATGGCCTCGCCGGTTCCTTCTCCGAGCATATCCCCGTCGTCCACATCGTTGGCTGCCCCTCCACCATCTCCCAGCGCGACCAGATGCTTCTCCACCACACTCTCGGCAATGGCGATTTCGATGTCTTCGCCAACATGAGCTCTCAGATCTCCTGCAACATGGCCAAGCTCAACAAGCCTTCCGAGATTGCTGAGCAGATTGATAACGCCCTCCGCGCTTGCTGGCTCCAGTCCCGCCCCGTCTACATCATGCTCCCCACCGACATGGTTCAGGAAAAGGTCGAGGGTGCTCGCCTCGAGACCCCCATCGACATGTCAGAGCCTGAGAACGATCCCGAGAGCGAGGACTTTGTCGTCGAGGAGGTCCTCAAGGCCATGTACGCCGCTACCCGCCCTGTCATCCTGATTGATGCTTGTGCCATCCGTCATCGTGTCGTCGACGAGGTGCATGAGCTCATCGACAAGCTCGAGCTCCCCGTCTTTGTCACCCCCATGGGCAAGGGCGCTGTGAACGAAGACCACCCCAACTATGGTGGTGTCTTTGCTGGTGAGGGATCTCATCCTCCCCGAGTCAAGCAGATCATCGAGGATTCGGATCTGCTCATCACCGTTGGCGCTATGAAGAGTGATTTCAACACTGCCGGTTTCTCCTACAGAACCTCCCAGCTCAACTCTGTCGACTTCCACAGCACTTACTGCAAGATCCGATATTCCACCTATCCAGGTGTTGCCATGAGGGGCGTCCTGCGCAAGGTCATCGACAAGGTTGACCCTGCTTCCATGCCTGCGCCTTCCATCCCCGAGGTTGTCAACGAGGTCGAGGAGAACTTTGACAGCTCCGAGACCATCACCCAGGCTTGGTTCTGGCCTCGCATTGGCGAGTTCCTCATCCCCAAGGATATCATCGTGACCGAGACCGGAACTTCCAACTTTGGTATCTGGGATACCAGATTCCCTCCCAACGTCACTGCTCTCAGCCAGGTTCTCTGGGGCAGCATCGGCTGGTCCGTTGGTGCTTGCCAGGGTGCTGCACTTGCAGCCAAGGATCTTGGAAACGGCCGACGAACAATTCTCTTTGTCGGTGATGGATCCTTCCAGCTGACTGCTCAGGAACTGAGCACCATGATCCGACATGGCCTCAAGCCCACAATGTAAGTTGACATTCACATCCTCTCATAAGTATTGAAACCTGACGCTAACTCTTCCAATAGCTTCGTCATCTGCAACGATGGTTTCACGATTGAGCGTTTCATCCACGGCATGAATGCCGAGTACAACGACATCAACGAGTGGAAGTACAAGGAGTTGGTCAGAGTGTTTGGCGGTGAGAAGACCTGCAAGACATTCACCATCAAGACCAAGGACGAGCTCAACGACCTCCTGGTCGATGAGGAGTTCAAGGCCGCCAACTGCCTCCAGTTCGTCGAGCTCTACATGCCCCGAGAGGATGCTCCTCGTGCCCTGATCATGACGGCAGAGGCCAGCGCCAAGAACAACGCCAAGAAATAAATGTGACGGATAGAATGGTTTTTGGAAAATGTTCCTGGTGAACAGAACCAATGGGTTGGAGGAAGATAGACAGTGCCCGGTCACTTGGTCAGGCCCTGGTCTGGGTTAATGGTAATGGCTGATTGGTGCGGGTGCGCATTATAGAATGGCGGTTTGATGAACAGGTCTTTGCCTGAAATTGTAAAAGCGAATATTATTATGAGAATTGATCCACTTTCATTTTTTGAGTGTTTATGATCAAGTTGTGAGTTGAGCTGAAAGATCGTGTGATGAGCAGAGCTGAGGTAGGACGCGGATACACGTGATACGCTGGCACGTCGCGTTGAAAATCTCCATGTATCCACGTACCTTTCAACTTACCAACACCAAAGCTTGCTTCAACATCCTCGTTCCAACACAACTTGATAAGTTTCAAGGCCAATTGCTTTACTGTTATCAAATCCATTTCACAGCATTATGAGTGACGGGGCAAACAAGCGGAAGCAAGGTCCTGGGGGGAGTGGTCAAGCCAACAAGAAGAGCAAGGTAGGCCAGATGAACCGATCCATCCCACATCAAAACCCCTTTCTCCCACTTCTAGGATCCAAATCCCGTTTAGATTACGAATCATTTGTCAGAGAACGAGTGCTGATCATCTTGATAGGGAGGCAGCGCTGGCAAGTGGCAGACGCCACACCAAAAGGCCAAACAGACTGAAAAGGTGGAGTTGGGAAGAACTTTGGAGATCAACGATGCCGGGATCTGGGTCACCTACGCCAGGGGCATGAAGGGCAAAGCTGTGCGGGAATTCAGGGCCCTTTGTGACGAGGTATGTGACTCGTGCTCGTGCATGTTCCATACTGCAATCTCTATTAGAGCTCGGCACATTCAACTGACTTGGGTTAATGCAGTATGGCGAGTCACTGTTTGGGATAAAGCCTCCGGCTGAAGATGGTGAGGGCGAGGATGAAGACGAGGAGCCCAAGGACATTGAAGCTTCTATCCAGCAGGAATTGGCCGACATGAGTGCCAAGAAGCCCAAGACGAAGCAGTTCTTTACACCCATATCAACTAACCTCGACTGCGTCTTCTTCATGAAGCTCCAGAAGCCCGCTGAGCCTCTCGAGATGGTCAAGCGGATTTGCCAGGATGCCAAAGATTGCCCGGACCCAAGACAGCGCAAGGTCAAGTACATCAACCGCCTCACACCCGTCTTTGATACAGACAGGGCAACCGACAAAGGCATCGAGCGCGTGGCGCGGACGGTCATGGCTCCATTCTTTGAGCTCAAGAGCGAGTCAGGAGAGGATACAGCCGAGAAGGCGGCCGCTTCGCAGGATGATGGTGAGGGGCCTGCATCCTGCACGGTAAGGAACAGCCATGATTCGCGGGAATGCTTTGCGTGAAGCTGATCAGGTTCTGCCTCCAGTACGCCATCAGACATACCATCCGGAACCACACCGCTTTCAAGTCGAGCGTCGTCATCAAGATGATTGCGGATATGGTGAGCCCCAAGCACAAGGTCAACCTGACCAGCCCGGACAAGGTGGTATTGGTCGAGATTTTCCAGGTAAGCGGCCCTCGCGTATTGGACCTATGGCGGCATCAAGAAAGCTGACTAGCGTTGAGACGTTCTGCGGAGTCTCGGTTGTCGATGGTAAGCAGTGGGAGGACCTCAGACGTTACAATATAAACGAACTGTACAAGTTGGTCCCTCAGAAGGAGGAAGAGCCCGCAGGAGCCGAAGGAGCCGCCCCCGCCGAGTCGACGTAGGCTCCAGATGGGTCTCGTTGGCAGGCATGTAACTCTGCGAGCCGAGTGCGAGCGATCAACGTGCAAGATGAGTAGAACCCTTTAATTACGGCAACACAACAAGAACCGACCGGGCGTAGCGGTCAGACGGGGTTAGTTGAAAGCCAGCATGGCATTGGCCCATCAAATATTCCATGGCTGTCCACAATGGCATCCCAAAAAGCCATGCTGGCCCGGCCGCGCTTCTGCAGGAGTGTTCTGTTCGTTGGGGTTCACGGCAGCCTCCAGCAGGGAACACCGGTGCCCCCGACGACAGGGTTCCGTTCCCGAGGGAAATAAAGGTCATACGCTGTCACACAAAGGATCGATACCGGTTGGCCCCTCTGGGGCGGGAACGGACATTGGTGAATAGATTGGCAGGCTATTGCCGCCAGAGTTTGTCAAAGACAAAGACACGACAGAAAAGACAATGTGTTTTTCAGCACTCAATATCAACGCCGACCAATCTGCAGAATATGAGGTTCATGGGGACACGCCCCTAGCTACCAAGCTTCGTGCGGCTCGGGTAAAGGCTTGACCGAGATGCAGCTCTAAGAGTATCCCTAGGAGCTTGGCCAGATTGACTTTTCGAAGACTCCCGACTCGGCTACTGAGGAGTGGGACACGGGACGTGTCACTGACGGAACCAAAGATGTGAGATTACTCTGGTTGAAATGAATGAGGGAGGGGATGGTTTGAATGCATCCAACAGAGGCATCGGATCTAGAAAGGCTGTTATACGTGCATTGCATCCAACACCAACACCAACACACGACGCCTTCCAACGAGAAACATGTGAGACTCGGCAGCTAAAACCCGGAGCAATTCCGTGCGGCCCGCATACGGGACGGGTGGTGTTGTTCGGGCCCGAAGACACGGGGGCTTGAAGGCTTTTGACTGGGATGATTTGCTCCGTTGGTCTTGGGGAGGATGCCATTCAGAGACCTTTTGATCAAGCTTGACTTGAAGCGGTAGCCATATCCGCCGTGGCTGGGGCGCCACGACTACTACGTAGTAGAGACCAGGGGGTGACTCCACGTCTGACTGCGAGAAAGAAACCTGCGGTGACGAAAGAGGCGACGTTTCGAAATCGTTCCAGGGTTGAAAGACGGACGGGGTCTCGAGGAGAAAGAGAAGGCGAAAGAAGAAGAAGAAGAAGAAAAGCCACACGAGCAAGAGAGGTTGGCTGGGATGCAGGGTTTCGCGGAATGCGCGCTCAAGTCAGCTTCGCTTGCGGCAGCCAATCATAAATTTCCCGACTCGCTTCTCGATGCACGCCAGAGGCCATCCGTCCCCCATTGTGGGATGGTCAAGGTCCATCAGGCATCCAGCTCTTGTTCTCCAGTTGCAGGGGGCAAGGAAGCAGATCAGGAAGCGTTTTGGTTGTGGCGCATGAGACGATGTGACGCTTCTCGAATGCTCTTCCTCTTCCCCCGTTTCTTCCAAGATGGAAAGATTTGTTTGATGAGAAGGGATTCTCAATTGACGTCGGGCTGAGCCAGACCAGAATGGGAATTGGCCTTTATGAGCGGAGCCGGATCAGTTCCCGGTCCGTGACCCTGCCGTCGATCACGCCTAAAGAGACTACGCTACGTAACGTAACCATGGAAGTTGGTTCGATTGTTGTTGGTTGACCAAGCGAAAGCGAAGCGATAGGTTCTAGTTCTGCAACAGAAGACGGATACAGCACAGAGCCGCTCGGTTGGGTTCAAGGCTGAAGGGGAGGGGGGGCGTGAGGCCAGGTCCCGTCTTCTATCCTGTTAGATCAGGCCAGGCCATGGCCTTGACCACAAGCATCCGCATCTGCATCTGCATTTGCAGTTCGCCCGTTGTATGCTGTGCCCTTTTCTCTTCGGCCGTGTTCCGCTTCCTCCTCTCCGACCCCCATGGAGAGAGGCGTTCCTGGGGGCCTCTTTTTTCCCCAATATTTTTTCAATAACAGCAACTCTCGCTAGCCCGGTTCAGGTTCTAGCCCGCTCCCCCCTTGAGTCGACGACCCTTTGTAAACGCCTCTTCTCGCCTCGGCTTGACTGTTCCGAGGATAGCAGGCGATTCGTCGTGTCCTGTCTGTCTGTCTTTCTCTGACCCCCGGGCCCCTACAGGTCATTCATCATCTCTCGTGCGCCTCTGCAAACGAGACTACCCGCCGCTATATCGTCGTCTATTGACGCCCCCCCTTGGAGACAGCCAGCGACCGGTGAGCTCAGCCATGCATTCTGGGCCCCAGATTTTTCTTAATGGATGGGATGCTTTTACTACACTACTCTCCGTTCCTGAACAGGCACGCCGTCACGTTCTACTGTAGTTGGCGCTTTCGCCTATATCGACCATTTGCATGTCCCGTTGCGCCCCCCCCCCGCCAGCTCAGCCCAGTCTTCGGTTCTCCATTCCGCCCTTCTTCTTGATCGGTCTGTCTGTCTGCTGGCCTGGACTGGACCAACCCAACACAAGCCAACCAGCCCAGCCAGCCCTGTCATAGTCTCGAGGGCTCATGCGTCGTCTCGCTTCTGTCTCGCCCGTCATGGGCGAGTTTCCTTTCTCTTACCGGCGGTGACATTTGCCCCCCCCCCCCCTGTCCCCGTGATAACTTTACTTTGCCTTCCCTCTCCCCGTATAGCAAATCCTCATTTCGCTGTTGGTTCCAAACATCAAACCCATCTACTATATACCCACCCGTCTACTGACAGTACACCCACCCGATATGCGTCTTGCCCCATCTCGACAACTCCTCCTCGTCTAGTCTATACCTCCCTACGCACGAGGCGTTCCCAAGAACCGAAGCGAACTTGCATCGCGGGAGCTAACACGTCGTTCAATCGACCCACCGCCTCGCATCTTGGAGTGTGTGGGCGGCATTGTCGTCATATCCCTTTCCGCGTCCCTGTTGTATCCATCCCATCCCATTCTCGCTCACTCTCGGGTTCCCATGGGTGACTAGTACTTATCTCTCTATTTATCATCACTGTTTTCCTCGGTCTCCTTCCTCTTGGGTCGTAATCGAATACTTGGCGCAGCAAGAAGACAAGGGCTCTTCTCTTCCAAGCGTTCGAGGCCCCCAACACCACGACGGCCGCTTCTCTCGACCAGAACACCTCTTTTTTGTCTCATCCCAGTGTTGCAAGCCAATCCTTGTCAGGCATGCACCGAAGACATAGTCCATCCTCGAATCTCCCCACACCAGACTGTTGAATCGGTCAAGGGGTCAAGCATCCATTCCCCCAGGACAACCCCATCTCTCTCTTGCTGCTGCAGCTGGCGTTTGAGTAGCTCTCAGCCATTCCCCATTAATATCACTAATCATACCCAAACCATCTCGTTCTTATATATCCTCTTCCCCATGACTCGACCGTCGTACCAATGCACCGTTCGGGACGACGGCAGTCTGACCCCCTCGTCCCAGTACGTCGCGCAAACCTGCAACCTTGTGCGCGACAATATCCCCCGTTCGGCCCGAGACTTCTTTTCTGTTGATTCCTCTACCGCTTCTTCCTCTGCTCCGAAATCCATGGCGGCTGCTCCGCCCGAGAGGTCAGTCCTCTCACTCCTCAACGGCATCAGCCCTCGCCTGTCGGTCCAGGAGCTGGAGGTTGTTCCCTCAGCTCGACTACAACGCTTGTACAATGTCAAGGTCACCGAGGGACCTAGCCTCTTGCTGGCTCTACCTCCCCCTACTGTCATGCGACTACTGCGTTCAGAAAAGTCATCTATCGGTTCGGAGGCTGCCGTGTTAAAGTGGCTTTCTGCTGTCGCCAGGGAGAAGAGGACAAGTCCAGCATCAGGCTCTAAGGAGACACTAGGCAGGACCACGGGGGACTCATCAACCAGTGAACGGACGACCCATTCTCTCTCAGGATATCTACCCATATTAGTCCGGCACGAATCAACAGGTGGCGGTCTAGCAACCGAGTACAACCTCAGTCGACCATCACGGGGTGTAGCAGTGTCTGCCCTCTCAAGACCCCTAACTCACCGCGAACGGAGGATTGTGGACTTTCAAGTTGGTCAACTACTCCGTCGGATATCAACACAGGTCTCACCAACGAGGAGATTTGGCATCGCCGCCGATGTGCTGTCGGTACCGCCTTCGGTCGTTCACAACCCAGCGAGACGCCTTGAGGGCGGGTTACACGAGTCGAGGGGTGCTGAATCCTGGAGGGTGGCATTTCACAACCTGATGGAGGCCATCCTACGAGACGGGGAGGACTTGACTATTATGCTCAATTATAGTACTATCCGACGACACTTTTACCGTTTCGAACACCTACTTGACGCAGTGACGGAGCCGAGGCTGGTTGTCTTGGATGCTGGAGAGGACTCGAATACGCTGGTGATACGGCCAGGTGATGGGATCAACAGGAGCCAAGCAAAACTAATATCGGTACGGAAAACCTCAGGAAGTCCGGAACGGGTGGGGATACGATCGGAAGACGAAAGGGCAGTCGAGTCGGATGATGAAGACGAAGGGGAGGAGGAGTATACAATCAGCAAGGGGCAGATCGAGGTAACAGGCTTACGACAATGGAGCAATTGTATATTTGGAGACCCTCTTCTCGCCTCAGTCTTTAGCAAACGGCCACGACCTTCGCAGGACTTTTGGCGTGGATTCGACAAACCAATCCCAGGAGATGAGAGAGAGCCAACCCTCATCGAGGACACCCCCAACGCCCACATCCGTCTCCTACTATACGAGTGCTACCACGCCGTCGTCTCGCTCGTGGGCGAGTTCTACCGTCCTCAAAACGACGGCGGGAAGCGCGAGCTGGCTGCGCGGAAGCACCTCGGCGGAGTGTTGGCCCGGCTGGAGGAGCTGGACGATTCAGGGGGTCAGCGACGCAGGCGCATGAGCGGCGAGATGTCGCCCGCCAAGAGGCCGCGGTCTGGAGAGGATGAAGATGATAGTGATGACTAACGCTAGTGGTTTTGGGACATTGGAAATATTGAGGCGTTTGTGGTGGGTGGGAAATACATATACGACAGATTCCGGTTCATGATACAGCGATTCCAGGTAGAACTCTCGCCTCAGAGCGGAGGGGCCAGTATAGAAGACTAAATGAGTTAAATTCACTTTTTAATACCTTATCCTCACGCCTTTCCCTTTCCTTTTACGGTTCGGCTACCAGCATCTTTATCCACATCTTGACCATTCTCATCATCTTCATCTCGTGGAAGCTGGAATCCCATCATGCCCAGGAGATTGCCCGTCGGACCAGCCATGCCTGCCTGGCTCTTGAAGCTCTCGAGTAGGTTCTTTGCCAGGTTGTAATCGATGTCGACGTCTTGCTCGCTATCCTCGTCCTCCTCAGCCACGTCTGGCAAGGGGGTCGATTGACTGCTTTCACCAGCCTTTGGGCTCTTGTCCTTCAGCCGAGGGCGCTTCTCCTTGGCTGGGTCGAGTTTCAGGGCGCCGTGTGAGTTGAGCTCGGCTTCAAACTCAGTGGTGAGTTTTCGAATCTCTTCGTCTTCTACTTCGTCGTCGCCAGAGCTCTTGGGTGCGGGCTTGGGAGATTCCTTCTTGCCTGGGGTTGGGGTTGAAGATGGCAACCCCATCATTTCCCTCATCATCCGGGCAAATTCCTCCTCATCGAAGCTGACCTCTTTATCCTCTGCATCACTGTCTTCATCCGAAAATTCATCGTCTTCATCGTCGTCAAAGTCCATCTCGTCGAGTTCCGCTCCTTCCACCCCCGCCGAGTCATCATTGAGGAATGCTTCGAAGCGAGAGACGATCTTGCGTAGGTCAGACTGTGTGTTCGCGTCACCAAAGCCCGATTTTTCGCCCTCTTTGGGTGCTCCTCGCTTTCCATCAAGTTCCTTTTCAAAATCTTCGTAGTTGATGTCCATCCAGGCTTCGCTGTCATCACGAGTGGCGTCTCCCCAGGACTTGATATCCTGATCCGTAGGAAGAACATCGTCACCGTCCTCTTCGAGGTCTTCAAGAACGATTGCCAGTTCTCTCACGACCCTACTCTTGCTCTTTTCCGCTTTGGCAGCCAGCATTTCGAATCCACATGTGAGCTTCATTCCGATATCGAGTCTGGCTGTGATTTTATCCGCCTCTCCTGAAGGGGCCTCCTTCTGGGCTTTTTGAATGATATCTTGCCATGTCGGTGGCGCATCAAAGCGCTGGGAACGCAGTTGCGCGAAGAGCACTTTACTAAATCGCACCGAGACTGTTATGATATCCTGAAGCGGGAACACTGGTGGTTCAGTAGGTGAGATGATACGCTTGAGTGCGATGGGATCTCGGAGGTAAAAGGCCTCCACGGCAGGGGCCACGGATTTTGGAAGTGAGTGTAGAACGTATGCCAGCTTCCTGGGTATTGTGACGAGGGAGTGATGAATCGATTCTGTGATATGTGCTGGGTACTTCTCCAGCCTGTAGAAAGCCTCAGCCTCGACGAATGCCGAGTGAACGAGAGCATCTGGTTTCGTCTTGAGAGCCTCAACCGCGTCAGACAGCGTGAGGTTTCGGGGCTTGAGGTTTGCTTCATCCTTGACTGGGATGATCAACAACTTTCCGTCGTGAATCCATGTTCGATTGTTGTCGATTTCTGGGTTGAGCCACCTGGGCAGCACATTGGCTGCTTCGACGAGGAGGAACTCGCCGTCTGTGTCAAATACTCTAATCCAGAGTTTCGGATGAGATTTGGTGAGTTCTCTCAAGATGTAGACAATGAGCCACTCGTCTTCGACAGCGTCACCGTAGTCTGTGATGCCATGAAGATACACCAACCCTAGCAAGGATTAGCTAGTCTATCCAGTGACTTCAGGTGCGGCGCATGCCCTTGCCTTGTTCGTTCTTGAGGGTGAGGTTAAATTCGTCCTTTTGCCAGATGTAATTCCCTGTGAGTGAGGTGGCGAGGTCTATGGCCGACTTTCTCACAGCCTCGATTTGTGAGAGTTGTCTTCGAGCCTCTAGTTGAGGGTCCAACACGAAGAGGAGATACTCTACACAGTTGTCGGGAAGTTGATTAATGGGACCTCCCTGATCTGCCTCCTTGGAGGTAGTCCCTCCCTCAAAGACCGCAGTTTTCGAAGACATATCGAGTCAAACTTGAATTGTCAAGATTACGCCCACCTTCAGCTGTTGACTACAGGGTAAGGTATGCTTCTCGAGAGCTTGGTGTGTCACTCAGCTCAAAGTACGCTAGTCCAAATCAGGAACAAAGAAAAGAAAGCCCCCCACCTTCACGACACGTCCAGGCTCAACGCGTAGAGTGTAACTTCGCTCCCCAGATTCTGGAAGGTACCTCCTGCTTTGCTCATTCACCTCTGGGAAGTGGACAACGACTCCCCTCCTTAATAGTTAATCAAGGTCGCGCATGCACACAAACGATATTTTTCCCACAACAAATTTCTTCAGCTAGCGATCAATCCAATTCATCAATCTCCCGGTGCCCCGGGAATCGCAAGGCCGTGCGCATCGCATCGCATCGCATCGCATCGCATCGCAGCTATGGCACCCACCAAACGACCGCGGCCCCTTGCTGAGCAGGATGAGGACGATATCGTCGACGTTCGGCAGGCGCGCTCACATCTCCGACCAGAGGAAGCCGTAAGATTTTATCCCAAACATCTAGTACATCCGTCTGACCAGGACTACCGCACAGAGGAAGCGCGCACGAGTTTCCATCGACGACCGAAGAAGAACGGAACCGACGCCCCAGCTCGACGATGTATCGAGCTCCGAAAGCGACGAGGAAGAGGCCCGAGGACTTCCAGACTCCCCACCACAGACTCAGTATGAACTCATGCGAGATGCCGGCTTCAGGCATCTACAGCACACCGATTGGGATGATCAGCAGGCGACACAGAAACTGGCAAAGAGAGGCACCACACTCGGCAACAATATGGTATCCGAGAGCGGCATCGTCGAGAGCATCACTTGTTACAACTTCATGTGCCACGAGAGACTGCATGTCGAGCTTGGGCCGCTTATCAACTTCATCGTCGGCGAAAACGGCAGCGGCAAGAGTGCCGTCCTTACTGCTCTGACGCTGTGCCTCGGTGGCAAGGCCAGTGATACCAACCGAGGAGGCAGCCTAAAGTCATTCGTGAAGGAGGGCCGTGAACAAGGTAGCTTGGTTGTCAAGATCAAGAACGCGGGATCGGACGCCTACCAACCTGACATCTATGGCGAGAGCATCATCATCGAGCGTCATTTTTCGAAAGCCGGTAGTAGTGGATTCAAGATCAAGAGCGCCACTGGCCGAATCATCTCCACCAAGAAGCAAGAAGTCGAGGAGATCTCCGAATGGTACGCACTACAGATTGGCAACCCTTTGACGGTCCTATCCCAAGACAACGCACGGCAGTTCCTCAACGCAGCATCTCCTGCCCAAAAATACAAGTATTTCGTCTCCGGCGTTCAGCTAGAACAGCTCGATAACGACTACAAGATGTCACAGGATACCCTCGACAAGACTTTGATTCTCAGAGAGGACTTGACTTCTAAGATTGAGTATGTCAAGAAAGAGATGGAGGAGGCTGAGCGACTTGCCGAAACAGCTCGAAAGAACGAAAGCCTACGCGAGAAAGGACGACACTACAGAAACCAGCTCGTTTGGTCCCAAGTTGTGGAGCAGGAGAGACTGCTTGAGCAGCGTGAAGCCGAGATTGTGAAACGAGATGAACAAATCGAGGAGGCAAAAAATTACTGTGAAGAGATGACTGCGGCCCTCGAAACAGTAGACGAGAAACTCGAGCGAGTCAAGCAGGCTAAGGAGGTGCTTGAGCAAGACCGAGACACCTTTGAAGGACGAATCACTAGAGCTGAGGCTGCATTCCAACAAGCCTCGAAGGACGAGTCCGAGTTGCTTCGAGAGGAGCGCGATGCTCATCAACGCCTCAAAACAGTCAACGAAGACATCAAGGCCGTCAACCGAAAAATAGTGGAGGAGGAACGTCGTCTGGGTCAGTCAACAGGGACTGCTCGTGCACAGAAGGATGCCGAGCTTGCGGAGAAGACAAAGAAGGAGAAGCTTGTCAAAGAACAGTTGGAGGAGGCTCATGAAAAAGTGCCTTTCCTCCAAAACAGGCTCAACGAAATCGAAAGCAGCTTGAAGAAGCTGGCACACACCAAAGATCTGAAGCGAAAAGAGATCGTTTCAGTTGAGCACCAGGTCCGAGAACTCCAAACAACATCCGGTGGGCGGTATAGTGGCTTCGATAGGGACATCACCAACCTCGTGAAATCGATTGCGAATGACAGTGGCTTCGAGCAGAAACCTATTGGGCCTATTGGTGCCCATATCCGATTGTCCAAGCCTGAATGGTCTGGCATTCTTGAGAGAACTCTGGGAGATGGCCTCAATGCATTTGTTGTGAGGAGCAAACCCGACCAGACGAGACTCTCTGGCATCATGCGCCAACTCAAAATGAGGAAGCAACCCCCAATCTGGATTGCATATGGAGGCAGGATTGACACAGGCAGTCAAGAGCCAGACCCCCAGTTTGATACCATCCTGAGAGTGCTCCAGTTTGAGGATGACATTATTAGATCGCAACTCATCATCAACAACCAGATCGAGAAGATTATCCTTGTCCGAGAGCGCGTGGAGGCCGAAAGGGTTATGGTTGAAAATACCCCTCCGCGTAATGTGGCAGCTTGTATCTGCTTCCACGACGGAAAGGGCAAGCGAGGATGGGGATTGAGAATGACGAACCGAAACGGCTCTATCGGCACGAGCCCAGTCCAGCCAAGTAACATGCGTCCCAGGATGCAGTCAGACTCGGCTCAACAGGTCGAAATGCAACAAGAGAATCTGAAGCAGCTGGGCTTGGAACTTGCCGAGATTGGTCGCGATGATCGCCAAACCCAACAGGCGGCTCAGCGATGTAAGACCGACCTCCAAACTCAACGGAGTGAGATCCGGAAGCTGGAGAACGATCTCCGCTACGCACAGGCTGCCATTGAACGCATCTCTATGGAACTCGACGCGTTTGAGGGTGTCGATGATCGACTAAACGTCCTCCGTGAGGAGCTTGATAAGAAAACCACGGAAAAGGACGAAATCGGAAACCAGTATGGCACCATGAGACTGGCAAGAAGTGATCTGAACGCGAAGAAAGAGAAGGCCAGATTGAAGCTCGAAGAGGAGAAGAATGAACAAGACGACTTCCAGAGCCGGGTCAACAAAGCGCAAGAGAAGATCAACTCGGCCGAGGGCATGAGGCGTGTAGCCGTTGCGAACAAGAATGATGCCTTTGAGCGAGTCGACATTGCAAAGAACGAGCGACGGCGTGCCGAGGAGAGGCGAGACGCCAAGGCCGAAGAAGTTGCAGACTTTACTCGACAGGCTTCCGCGATAGCAGAGCGTGTGCACATCCCCGATGGCGAGACACATAACAGTATCGAGATCAAGTATAAGAAGGTTCGTGAGCAGCTCAAGGAGCGTGAGAAGCGTCTCGGAGCCTCAGACGCTGAGATCTACGAGCGTGCTGCGGAAGCTCGCACGCGATATGAAGATGTCATGAGACAGACCCGGGACGTGGACGACACCATCTCATCCCTCAAGCGAGCCATCGAGCACCGACTCCATCTCTGGCGCCAGTTCCAGCGCCAGATCAGTGCTCGCATTCGCATTCAGTTCAACTATCTCCTCAGCGAGCGAGGCTTCCGTGGTAAGATTGATCTGGATCACCGCGCCCGCAAGGTCCTTATCCAGGTTGAGCCCGACGAGACACGAAAGAGCTCCGCTGGAAGAAACACCAAGACTTTGTCCGGCGGTGAAAAGTCCTTTTCATCCATCTGCATGCTTCTCTCAGTGTGGGAGGCCATTGGTTCCCCTATTCGCTGCTTGGATGAGTTTGACGTCTTCATGGATAATGTGAACCGTGCCATTAGCACAAACATGCTGGTAAGTGTACATGTGCAGAGAGAACGCATAAAGAAGACTGGTAGCTAATCTGATTGTTATTCAGGTGGATGCCGCTCGTCGTTCAGTCTCACGACAGTATATCCTCATTACGCCCAATGCCATTGAGGGCCGGGCTCGCCTGGACAAGGACGTCAAGATCATTCGGTATGCAGTCTATCTCTATAGACAAGACATCTGCTAACAATATCCCTCCTATAGACTGACAGATCCTCGCCAACGAACACTTGACGAGTATGCATAGAATATCTAACGAGGGGTGCTTTTGGGAGTTAGGGGTCATTTCGAGGCGCTTAGAAAGGGCATTAAAAAGGACGGCTCAGGCAATGGGGTGCTTTATAGTGATACCAGACGCAGGCGGGATGGGTATTTCACGGATTGGACTTGAAGGCATAGCGGGCTCTCGTCAAGACGTCAATGTTTGATGATGAATGCGGTTGTACATGGCTCATACACTATCATACAGGCGATTTTACGGTTTCTCTCTTTTTACACAATGGACCAATATTGATCCTAGATGCGGACTCCCTTGCTCCTTAGCACGTTGACGCCCGCATTGAATGTGAAGCCAGCCCATTGACCAAAGGACCCGACGACGCTACCGAGTGACTTGACCTCGCCTAGCCTTCGCTGGAGGAATTGCCTCGTCTCGATGAAGTCGGGGGATCGGTCGTTGGTCATGAATAGCTCGCTCGTGCTGTAAATCATGGAGAGGCTCGCGCGCTTCGAGTACCAGGAGGGGTCGACGGCCTTGTCTCCAGACAGGAACCAGATCTCGTCCGAGAGCTTAGCAAGCTCCTTGAGGGAGGCGGGGACGTAGCTTGGCTGAGCCATGATGGCCAGGGCCTGCGAGACAGTTGTAAGTATACGTCATGTACAATTGCATGGTGTATATTTCCAGATCGACCTACCTCTTGCCAACGATCCAAAACCTCCTTGTTACCCATGAGTCGCTCCCATGTCAATGCTTCCACCTTTGTCGCAATTCCAGATTGATCATTCTCTGGGAAAAGCTCCTTGCTGCGGGCTGCCAGAGCCTCGCGCTGTGTAGCAAGGTGATATCGGATCAGGCCAAAGGCACCGTCGGGAATGACACTGGCACTGATGTCGAGATAGCCCGCGTCTCGAGCGCCGAGGCCGAGCGTCTTTTGGGAGAAGCCATGTT